ACGAAGGGCCGGTAGTTGACTTTTCCAGTGATATAAACAGGCCCGGCGCCACCAATGGATTTTGTATAGCATTGCTTCCTAAAAGATATCCCCGCTCATTGCGATGGAAGATACCTATTCAAGTTGTAGTTTTCCTGAATTTTTTAATAAGAACTTAATCACCCTAGGTCCAGTACTGATTTAAGGTTTGATAGTTGATTTTGGAGGCCTGATTTGCCTTGAATGTTATATTTGTCCTGTGATCCACTTGCACCTGTGACCGCGCAGTGGAGTCGTAAAGTCGCCAAAACATGGCCCTGAATCGAATACCGTTGGGGTTGCTGATGAGATGAAGTAAACCAAAAAGTGCGCGCCCAACGGCATCACATCGCACTGACATAAACTTTGACTGCCACTGTTTCAAAGCATTCCAGCACACGCGACGAAACTAGCAAGCCTTGGACCATCAAGAAGAGCCACTGCAACCATTACCACCTGATATTGTTAAGGTTGATGGCAAATGAATTCGCCTCAATGATATCCACTCCCCCCTTAGCACAAGTGAATCTCAATGTGTGCTTTGCAGTAAAACACTCGGACAGCTCAGAAGCCTTAACACGCTGTCGCTTGAAGTACAACACTGAGACACGGACCTCGCTAAGATGTCGAGTAATCTCAATCGAGGACAAAAGCTCATTGTGTCCTGAGCAACAAAGCCTGGCCGTACAATTGCTAGTAGACCACTCATAATACACCAGGCAGCAAACACGGCCCAAGTTTGCCAGTTGTCAACAAAGACTAAGTTCTAATGCTAAACTCGTACACAAAGCGCAGCGGCATCCCTCTGGGTTAGTCTCCCAAAGTACACACCGCTTAGAGCCTGAAAGCCACTGGTAGTCAGAAAATCCTAAAGCCATTGCCAAGTCAGTACAGCGACCCTTAAAACAAGACTATTCCACCAGACCTATAAAAAGAAAAGTGATAGGTAGTTATCGCATTCGCTTTAGAGAGGATCGTGAAATCTAAACCACTAAATCTAACAATAACTAGGTCACGACTAAATCCAGTGACTGACCGCTCACGAAAGGTTAAGGAGGCAAATCCTGTTAGGCGAAAGCTGAACGGATAGCCATAAAGATGCAAAAGCTGTGAAAGCCTTACACATTACGGTTAACAAGCATAGGAAGCAAAATTGTTGAGGACCAGGACTACATCCAAAAGGCTTATCGAAATTAGTGTAGTGATAAGGTGACCATTTATACCCAGGACTGTAATCTATACAAAGCTATAAGTAAAGAAGCTAAGCTCCAAAATTAGTAGAAATTAATAAACCACAAAAAAAATGCAGAAAAATGGAGCCAGAGAAAGGTTTGTACGTCATACTTTCAGGGATAGTGGCCGAGCTGTAAATATGGAGGGAAATCAGCAAATCTAAGCATCATTCGTTTCCGATTGGCATAACTACACCTGTCTGGCATATGGAGACAAAGAAACCGTCCAAGTAGTGCATATACAAGAAAATAACTAAATAGACAATGAATCATAACCTTAGTCGATCTCTAAGAGGAGCGGAACTTCATTCCAAATGAAAAGGTTGTTGGCAGCGTGAGAAGAAATCTGTCGATTGACAGCATTGTTTTAATTAGCATAATGACAATATCTTGAATATATTTAAGGTTAGATGTACAAAGTGGTGGTAGAGAAAGCAAAGAGCAGAGGAACAGAGCGTTTAAATCAAGTACGGATAAATATTGACCTAAGGATGCAAGAAGAAAGGCATAAAGCAAAAAATGTTAGCAAGAAGTGAAGACGAAGCTAGGAAAATGGCGAGCAAATGAGGAAGACGTGAATTCAAATATTTGGCGCAAAATAAAACGAAAGTGAGGATCCCGTAGAAATATGTATAGCAAGCCGCAGTAAAATTTTAAACAAAAAGGGCCGATTGTGTAGTTAGTTGCACGACATCAAATAAGGAAGAACGATATTGTATAGACGATAGTGCATGGAAAATAAGAGAAAACTACGAGCTGAAACCTTCAGAGACAGCTGATTGCAACTAAGAGACATCTAGGAAAGAAATAATACATGTCAGAAAGTCTTCATTGAGAATAGAATAAAACAAATAAGTAATGCACTTACAACTCATTGGGGCATGTTGGAATCTTCGATAAAGTTGATCATGACTAAACTTCAAGAATGCTTCGTATTGCTCTACACATAACGAATAAAACAGCACTTACCTGCTAGTTTGTAAGAAAGAACTGAATCATATTCTTGGCGTAGCCTTTCCTCACATTCATTGACTACTCGCTCACAGAGTGCAGTAACTTGAGGTAGCGTGAAAATCGGCACAGCATCTAATGTGGCATGGGCACTGCGACAAGAAGCACGAGGATATGGAGGTAGACTAAACTCATTCTTCTCAGTTCCATGATCTGATTTTGAAATTTTATTCGCATCAAACTCAGACGCCATTGAGAGAGCGACATCTTTTTTATTATGAGTTGAGCATTCATTGGGAACCGCAAGATCAGAATCAAAGTCATGGTGGTCTGACTTGGGGGACGAAAGCTGCATTGAGCGCATGCTATTTGTCATATCACTGCATGAGTTAATTGCTTGAGCCCGTTCCGCAACAAAAAATATCTTACCCTTTTCGCCAGAGAGAGAGCTCTCGAATATCGAACTAATTGATTCGCTGGTTTGAAGAGACCCTCCAAAAAAGCGTGGTATCAGACGACGTTTTTGAAGCCTTCTAATCTCATCCTTAATCCTTCGTTTTAATTGTGCTGTAAAAGAAAATTCCGGATGCTCAGCCAAGAGATGCAGCAAGCTAAGATCAAAATAAAATGAACTACCTTGAGTTATGGGCTCGCGGGGAACAAATGGCGAATCTGGAACAACAACATTGGGAGAATTGGAACACGCAAAGCGTCCGCGTTTAGATGAAGTCTGTAGAATATCAAGAGCATGTGGCCTCTTCAGAGTAACACAAGCCATTATTAAAAAAGGCCGAAGAGTGAGGGAACAGCGCCAAGGCGCAGTATCGGAGTCAAGTTAACGAGCCAATTCGGAAGGAGTAAAACAAAGTGAGAATAATGCCTATCTTGCTTGTAGTGTGTTAGGTATAAATTATAAATATATAAAATGTAAGCCAAAGAGTGTATTTTATTTTGTAGAAAGCATACTATTTTTAGAATTAGATCATTTAATTGGTCGCAGACTGAGAACTAGCTAGTACTCTAATAGAGTCTTGAATAAATATGTAATGTATTATATATGCTTCTTTCAAGTTGGCAAACAATCATTTATAAACTTTGAAAATATGGAAATTTTGCCCTACGTTTCAATTCCAGCTATTTGATCAATATTCAGAAGGGGCATTATTATCGCTTATGGGAAATAAAATACATTTAAATTCTGAACTATTAATGAAACTGCATTGCTTTAGGTGC